GAGCACTAAGAAGAAAGGCGGCATGCAAGCGTGCTGACATACTGCAGGGAAAAGTAAAAACATCTTCGATCTTGTTTACCTAAACAAGTACCATGAAGGGTAGGAGACAGATGACTCCTTTGTAATTCTGATTGCTTGTGCCCATGTCTGAGTGAATAAAGCCACAGTGCACCAGTTACTCAGGGCTCTTCTGTCACAGGGAGACAAGAGCCCCCTGGGCCTCCACATTTTAACCTGATTATGTGTCTCTTCACTTTTCATTCTTGTCACCCCTTGGTCAGGTTTGAGCCCATAGGCTGGTTCCTACAGACAGGTTACTACTTGACAACTACAAGAGAAATCCAGAGGCAAACTGAGGTCAAAAGCAGAGAGAAAATGAGGGGCCCCCAGGAAAACAGGGAACATGCATACATAGAGCATAAAGAAGGCATGCTGAAGGGGAAAATTGAGGATGTAGTGTAGGTAAAATGACTTTGGGTCATTTTGGATATAATTTCAGAACCTTTCTGTTGCTTAAAAAGTTCATATTCTAGAAGCCAGCTGGAGTGGTACATGCCTATAATCCCAGCACTCAGGGGGCTGAAGCAGGATTGCCATGAGTTCCAAGCCAGTCTGGGCTACATAGTTCAAGGCCAATCTGAACCACAGACCAAGACCTTGTCTCAAAAAAAAAGTTTATATTCTAGTGTTAATTGATAGCAGACCCTTAAACAAATAACAAAAGGGCCATAAAAGGAAAGAAAAAAATTCTCTCTTCTGATCTATGTCTCACAGACACAATTCCTCTCCACTAAAGTGCTAAATATTATCAATTTCTTGAATATCCTCCTAGACATATTTCATGCATATAGAAGCAAATACATGCATACTGGTGTTCTTTCTCTCTTCTTTTGTTACTGAATTTTCTGTACATTAGCTTTTTCACCAACAAAATATCTTGAGGATCTTTCAGCATACATACATAAATAGTAGCCTCATTTTTTATGCTTGTATGCTACTCCATTACATAGATATGCCATGCCTTACTTCACTAACTCCTTACTGATAAATATTTAGATTTCCAGTCTTCTACTTTTACAAACAAGGCTGCAACATGTTATTCTCTGTATGTGAATAAGTTGTAGAATAAATTCCTAGAGCTGGTTTAATAAATTGAAGCATAAAGATAATCATACATTTGAAGGATATTTCCAAGTAATCCTTCATAAGGTTGTGCAAATTTATTTTCCCATTAGGAATGTATGAAAATGCCTCTCTCTTCACATTTTGTTTGTTAATTTGTTTCATTTTGTTTTGTTTTGTTTTTACAGAATTGGGATTGAACCCAGGAGAACTCTAGCACTGTGCTAAACTCCCAGCCCTTTTTATTTTTTTATTTTGAGATATCTCACTAAATGGCGCAGGCTGGCCTTGAACTTGCAATTCTCCTGCCTTAGTCTCCTGAGCAATTGGGATTACACACATGTATCACCACTTACCCAGCTTTTGTTCAACTTTTGCCAAGAGATTGTTGATTTTTTAACATTGTCAATCTAATACATGAAAAATGGATGGCTCTTTCAATTTAATTTCTATTTACCTTAGTATGAAGCTAGCTCTCTGTTAACATGTCTGTGATAGTTAACTGATTTTTGTCAACTTGAGTAAGAAACCCCCAACTAAGTTGGATCAGCATAGTTCTGGATGTGGCTGAAGGAATTTACTGAGGACAGAAGACCCACCCTGGGTGTGAGTGACAGCAACCAATAGGCTCAGTGCCTGAATGGAATAAAAGGGAAAGGAAGGAAGGCTCACGTCTGTTTCTTTAGAAGAGCTCCAGTCTTCGCCTTCACCTTGGACGTCATCTCCTGGCTTCCAGAGCAGACTCTTCAGCCTCCAGCACAGACCCTTCAGCTTCCTGATATGGGCTCGCATGGGACACTCCAATGAGCTCCAGCCCTTCGACTGGATCTTTCAGATCCCCATCGCACAGACAGACTTTTGCTCTCTTCCTCACCTGACCACAGATAGCCATTGTAAACCAATCTTGTAAATTCTTGTATATTTCTACGTCTTGCATCAAATCTGTTTCTCTAGTAAGCACTGACTGATACAATGTCTAAGAAACATTTATCCACTTTTCTATGGATTTTATTTTTTCCACATCTTTCACTAGGCTTATGATCTTTTTCTTATTGATTTGTAGAAGCTTTTCACGAATAAAGAAAACTAGCGCTTGTCTAGTCACTGACTTGCAAATAGTTCCCATTTTTATGATTATCTTTTGACTTTATGATGGGTTTTGCATTGCAGAAAAGCATTCTTTATGCTCTCTCTCTCTCACACATATTTCATAAAATTGGGAGGTATTAGTAAGACAAGACAAGGTTTCATTGACAGGTAGAAAAGGAGCATGAACTAGGGAGAGTGTCACTCTTAAAAATTTCCTCTTCTATTTGATCCTATCCTTAATTATGCCTTGGTAATGACATCGTCACAAAACTCAGCCCATGGAATAAATTAAACTCACTAACCATAACTTCCAGAAGTCACAGAGGGCAAAGGAAGCCAAGTTTCCTGCCCTTTGGCTTCTCAGCTAAATCAGAGAGGAAAATAATGCTCTGAAAATCCCCGGAGAATCTGTTGACACATCAGCTCTCATTCTTCCTGAACCTACTTCCTCCAGACAATTCAATTATAAAGGTCCTTCCCAGGCAGTCATTCAGTGACTGAGACAGAGCTACAGAAGAATAGACCAAGGGATGAGTTATTAGATGGTTGGGAAAGAAAATAAAGGAAAGGAGTAAATGAATAACAGGAGACATTGGACTGCACGTGAGGGGCATTTCACAACAGGAATGAAATTACTTCTGCCACAGCAAACAAACAGATTTCCTCACACAATGTAGGAGGGAGCCCTTTGCAGAGACTCAAACATCAGTTCCCATGGTGAATTTCAGGACCCCAGAGACTGTAACAATATGAGTGTGTTGGGGCAAGGAGACTGATGCTCCTTTTGAAGATATAGGAAGAAAAAGCAAGCAGGAATTCTATAATATCACCAAGAAACTGTGCTAAGGCTGCTTCGGGAAAGGTTCTGGTTCCTGCTGTACTTCTCAGCCAGATCTGCAACAGTTACTGCAAACCCCCAAATTCAGTCTCAGCCGATCAGCATCAGAGCAGATTCTAACTCTGCCTGTGGAACACAGAGAACCCTGTCCTAAATGTCCACTTCTAAGTGAGTAGTCTAGACCTCTGGAATGACACTGCTGCCTCTCTCTGCACTTTTTCATTCTCCCGTGTACCCCTTAACTTGTACCCTACTGCACTGTGTCCTGTAGCCCTCGGCTTCTCCCTGACTTCCTGCCTGGCACTGGGTGCCTGCTCTCCCTGGAGCCTTGCCCTGAACTTCAGCCTCCTTGGCAAGGGCACTAACAGCCCCACTGGCCCTCAGCCACCATCCTGTTCCTCTCAGCAACTGGCCAGAGTCGGGTTTCAACCCGGATGGTCCTCCTCCTCCCCATCCCCTACCCCTTCCTCCGGACAACAACTGAATATTTCCATTTTCCAGTGTTCCGTTTGGCCCCTACTGTATTCCTCTCCCTCCATAGGTGGAAATCATGGATCTCTGCAATCAAGTCCAGATTCACCACACACAAATACCACTTCAACCCCCTTTAAATAATGACTACTTTTATTCATTTCCATAACAAGAAACATAGAGACAGGAAGACTCCAGGGTCGGTTAATTCCACGGCTCACAGGTGTCATTAAAGATCTGGAGCCCTTCCTCTTTCTGCTCTGCCATCCCCACCATGTTGCCCACTCTTCTCATGAGAGGGATGCAGCAGCCCTAAGCTATCAGTGGTGGGCTGGATGTGGCTCACACAGGCTTCTGAGAGCCAATGGCTCACTATTTAGGGATCTGGCCAGCCAATGGTCAAGCTACTGGTAGTGGAAATTGGCTGTAATGGGAAAAGTCACACCACAGGAATGGCAATAGGTACATGCTACAAAGCAGGGCTTTGTATTATCAGAGGGCATGCTACCTGCGGGCCACTGCTGCACCACACCCTCAGACAACCACCTCTACAGACAGCAAAGTTCTTTTTCTCAAACATATCTTTTTTCAAGAGCAGAGAATCTTTTTCCATAGGCCCACAGAACGTCCCACACCACCTTTCAATCCCTCCCCTCTTGGCCTGATTGTGTCACATGCTGATGTTTCAACCAAAGACTCACAAATGGATAGAACGATGATGATTCCCCTGAAGTATGTGAGCATCTGATTCCTGAAGATCAGGTCCCTTTGCTGGAAATAAGGTGGGAAGTGGTCTATGGGTGGGTAATCAGCAGGTGTGTCTTACACACACACACACACACACACACACACACACACATTCCCCAGCTGATTCAGAGCTTCTCTCTCTGTTCTGACCCACCCTAGAGATACTAGCACACTTACAAAATGTATGAGTTTTTATAGCTAAGAAGTCTGCAATAGACCTGTCCACAAAAATAAAATAATAGAAATTTACTAAGAGGTAATTTTTCTTGGGCTCTAGGCCTACATTTACTTAAGTGTTTCAAAACACCTGGCTTCTTTTAAATACTATCAAATGGGTAAAAACTGTCCTAGTTTTCCACTTAGTAGTATTTCTTCTATAAATACATTCATATTTTAAAAGGACTAAATCTTAGCCAGGAAGAGAACACATTCATTTTTATGTGTTGACATGCTGTTCAAATTGAGTTCAATAAACACAAGACATCTCATTAACCAGTTGACTCAAAAATAATATTTCTCTATTCAGGCTTAATCTAATCCTGGCTTTCTCTCCAGCGGGAGCAGACAAAGTTGAAATGCACCTGAGTCTTTTCCTGGAGGCAGCTTCTCTGAGGCTGCAGAAGGGCACTCTGGGATAAAACTCCATGCCCGCTGTCTTCATTGGTTTTCCCAGGTAGGGCCTCTAGCCTGCTCTCTGATCTCTCAAGAAAGTGTCTAATGGCCCTCCTTTGAATCCCATTCAGCTTCATGCACCTTTTCCTTCCACTAACGAACAGAAGTAGAAATCCTCTGGCCCACAGGCCCATGTTTGCTACGAAGACTTACCCTTGAATAACCTTGCACATGAACTTCTGTGGGCCATAAGAGGCAGCACAGAGACTACCTCATAGCTTTTGAGCACCGACACTCTGGAGAGGCACTTCTGGAGAAGCAATAAACTGTGTAAGTAAAAAAGCTACAACCATCTGGGAAAAAGAGAAATCATTTCTAGGTAGGTCAGAAATTCTGTTCTCTTTGTTAATGTTTTCCACCATTTTATTTTAGTATGAACATTTTCAAACATACAGAAAAGTTGAAAACAGCTCAGTGAACACCATAGTCCCATTACTTTGACTTAACACCTGTCGACATTCTGAATTGTTATTGAAGTATTGGGCTATACGTGTTAAAGGAACATTCAGTCATTGTATTATTTCAAACTTAATACTTCTGTATGCACTTCTCTAAAAAGAACATTCATCTAAAATCACAATACCAGATCTAAAATAATAATTCTCTAATAGTGTCTAAAGTCCAGTTAACATTAAAATTTCCCCCCTCCGAGAAAAAACTATAGCTGCTTTTCACAAACAAGTTTCATACATTGCATTCGATAGTGAAGCTTATTTTAATCTAGAAGAGTTTTCCTACTTTTGTCTTTTTTTTAATAATATTGACCTTTAAAAGCAGTAGATCTACAGTAAATTCTTGGTTTGTCTGATTTTTATCTCAAGGCATCGTCCTACTTGCCTTTCCAGCTTTGATGTCCTGTTAAAACCAAGGCTTGATCAGATTCAGGTTGAATTAGTCAGAGTCCTTACTAGAAGCAGATGGCCCCCTCAGAGGGTTTAACTGAAGGGACTGTTTACAGATGTGTGGACAGGCACAGGGAACACCAGAGATGGTGGAGCTTGCCACGACATATCCTGGGCCTGAGCAACCTGGGGCTGCTGGGAAGCACTGCAGGAGTTGGGGCCCTGAAGAGGGGAGCCCAAAAGGAATCCAAATGTGTAAGGAACCTAGCCATCACCTAGGCTGCACTAGGCAGGGACTGAGGTGGTGGTGGAGGATAAATTCCATATTTCTCTCCTCCACCCTCATATTTTCTGCTGGAGCTCCCCCCCATCGTCGACCAATCAGAAGCCAATATCTAAGGGATGCTTTATGGTAACAACTGGCAGAAAGAAGTCTCCAGCGGTGCAGGGCTAACTGGAAAAAGCAAGGGCAACAGGAGAACACCATGCACACAGCTTCAACGTCTTTGACTAGAATGCTCCCGAAGGTCATGCGAATTTCAGAGGGAAACAAAATATTAGGTTTTCTCAACAGCAAGAAAGCTAATTTGAACCACTTGGTTAAAATGATGGCAGCCACACTGTACCGCTGACATCTCAGGAGTGTGTTTTTACTGTTGGAATCGGGGAGCAAACCAAGGGGAGGTGCTTTGGCACAAAGGAGCTGTTCTTTTGCCCCAATCACTTTCACATAATTATTTTAGCATCTTGAGGATTCTTACCTGAGTTGAGTATTTCACTGTAGACTGCAAAATGTTGATTTTTTTTTCTAATTTTTTCATTTCCGTACTTGGTTGAATCACACAAAATTCTGTATAATAAAAATAGTTGAATTGTAACAATTTCATAGGATTCAAATGAAAAAACTGGGAACACTTACTACCTTGTACTCTGGGAAGGAAATCTTTCTTCAACCAGAGAAAAACCACAGTTCCTCCTAAGAAGTAGGTTTAATATTTACTTCTTTTCTTTATGTACCAATTGTTAAGGTAAGAGTCACAGCCAAGTGAGTGCTGAATCACTAGCCATTAAAGAAGAGAAAATTTAAAACACTGAGATTAAATGTTACTCCAGAAAGAATGGCTATCAAGAAATTAAATAATAACAAATGCCCTTCAGGCTTCGGTGGGAAGAGGGAAGAACCCTTCTACACTGTTAGTGAGAATGTAAACTAGGACAACTACTGTGAGAATCAGTATGGAGATTGCTCAAAAAACTAAAACTAGAAATTGCATTTGACCCAGCTGTTCTTCTTTTGGGTATCTTCTCAAAAGATTTAAAGGCATTATATTACAGTGATACATACCTACCCATGTTTATAGCAGCCTAATTCACAAGAGCTAAATCTTGGAAGCAGCCTCTATGCCCATGAATGGATGAATGGATAAAGAAAATGTGGTATTTATACACAATGGAGTACACAATGGAGTCTGAGTCATTCATGGGTAAATGGATGCACCTTGAGAACATAATATTAAATGAAATAAATGAGACGCACAAGCTTAAATATCCCATGGTTTCTCTTATATGAGAAAGCCAAAATATAAATATAAAAAGCAAAATCAAAGTTACCTAATAGGAAGTGGGGAAATCTTTCTCAAATAGGAAAGGGACCGAGAGATGGAGAAAGGGGAGGGCAGAGAGGGAAAGGGGATGAAACCGAATTGAGATCTCTCATGTCCATGCACCCATTCCCCACAGGGAATGCAATCAATATGGAACACAAACATGTACTAATAAAAGATAAAAACTGGAAAAAAATTAATGTTGAGCTGCTGCTCTTTTTTTTTTTTTTTTGCTTGTTTTGTTTTTGATGTGGTACTGGGGATTGAACCAGGGTCTTGCTTGTAGAAGACAAGCACTCTACCAGTGAGCTACATCCCCAGTCCTTTTCTTATTTTAGTTTGAGACAAGGTCTTACTAAATTCCCCAGTCTGGCCTCAAATTTGCAATCCTCCTCTCTTGGCCTCCTGAGTAGCTGGGATTACAGACATGCACCACCTCACCCAGCTTTGCCTCTCTCTGCCTCCCCCCTCTTTTCCTTTTTATCCCCAAATACAGTCTTTGGCAGCGGCAGCTCCTTCAGGCTAACTCCTTGGTAGGCTCCTATTAGTCTTAGATGGCTTTCTTTCTTCCTGGAATTATGCGATGTCCTAAACTCTCCTAAGCTATGTTTCCCTGCCTCAATACTTCAAAAATCCTTGGTCCATTTTGGTAGAAAATTATATTTACAAACCAATATCTGTATACTAGGGGTCCCCACAGCTACTGAGATGTTATTTCTTCTAGGCTGTCACTGTGCACAGACCCTATGTATAGACAACACACAAATATATCTTTAAATCAGCTCATATTGCCATTTCCAATTTATATTTAACATTCTCAGTCGGGAATTAGCTTTGAGGAGCAAATATTTGAGATGGACTTGGAAGGTATGTACAATATCTTTTTAAGAAACAATTTCTAGGGGACAGTGAGAGGCTGGTTAATGGTTACAGAAGCATAGTCAGATAGGAAAAATAACTTCTAATATTCTATAGCACAGTAAGGATAACCATGGTGGACAATTTAATTGAATGTTTCAAAATAGTTCATAGTATTTTAGATGTTCCCAACACAAAGAAATGATGTTTCTAAGGTAATAGATATGCTAAGTACACTGATCTGATCATTACACATTGCATACATGTATTGAAATGTCACACTGCCTCATAAATATGCACAATTTAATGGCTATGTGGCCATTAAAAATAGAAATATACTTCACTCTAAATAATGGAAAATAAAGGAAGAAAAATAAAAATTTTCTGTGATATATTTGCAGTGAAAAATAAGAGAAGAAAGTAAATTTACTGATAATATCACCTTTTGAACACAACCATTTTTAATCTTTTTATACAAGTCCCAAGTAGTTAAGATTTAAATAAACACAACAATGAAGATACTGCAAGCCTTCAAACAGATTTAGGTCGAGAATTAGAGCATTTATATGGGGATACTGTGTTTCTCATCCTTTAGCCCTCTTTTCATATCATACCTTTTGAGTATGTAACCTTTCTCCTATCTCTGCCTGCCAGAGTCATATTCATACTTTAAAATGCAGCTCAAAGCTTCCCCTAATTCCCCCTGCCAGTTATAGCCTTGCCCTACCTAGAGTGCGTTTCTGTAGATCTGATAGCATTTTTCTTTTGATGCCTTTTAGACATGTTTGTGTGCCTGCATTATCTCCCTAACTAGTTTCCACGTTCCTTGCAGTCAGGAGCTGTATGGTTGTCTTTGTACAGTCAGCTCTCCATATCTGAGAGTCCTGCATCAGGCAATCCAATTGACTACAGATTGAAAATATTTGAAAAAGAGATACCTGTACCACTGTTTATATTTTTCCTTGTCTTTATTCTCTAAACAGTATAGTATAACAATTTACATTGCATTTACATTCCATTAGATGTTATAAGTAATCTAGAGATGATGTAAATTGTACAGGGGAATGTGCATGGATTAAATATAAATATCATATTAGATTTTGGTTTCCATGATGGGTCCTGGACCTAATCCCCCACAAATAACCAGAGACAACTGTATTCTCAAAGCTCTTGGCTTAGCAGCTCACATATGAGAAACTTTCAATAAACAGTTGCTGCATTTAATTCATCGTGGAAAGTCTCAAAATGAGTCTAACAAATTTGCACTATATTGTGGCAGCTCCCTGTAACTATTCTTCAGGTGGAAGAAAATATTCCCCTCAAGCTACCATCTTTCACTCTAATTACTTACTTCTGAAGCCTAAGGCTTATGTTATTTCTAATTGTGATAGTATGCCTAAGGTCACTAATTACAACCCTTTCAGTTGCCTAGTAATCTTTCAGCTTATTTTTAAGGCTGCTTCTAAATTTCAAATAATAATTCTAAACATCTTTAAATAGAGTATATTAGTTTTTTGAACAGACATAAAGTGCTCCACATTTATATGTAAAAATGTCATTAGATTGGGGGTGTGAATGGTGCTTAATGCTTTACAAAGGAAGTGATTGAATTGCCTTCTTTATAGACTGTAAAGAAAAAGACAACTGCTGATATTGTTTAAACTCTCCATGACAGAGGCAGATGGATACATCATTACAAAAGACCTGGAGGTCCTTTCAGCTCTATGATTTTAATTGAGCTGTATAAATTTACAGTCCCACCTGTCTTGTGACTAAGCTAAATGGGTTTGGATCTCAACCTCATTATCAGAAAATAGTAATGTAAGTAATACTTGACAATACAGAAATCTGCTGGATTCCATTTTCTTATCTACAAGATGAGAAAGTTGAATTGATTAATCTCTGTGGTCATGAAGCACTAAACTTCATAAATCTTTCTGACTCTATAATTGCTCAGGTACATGCTTTCTGTGATATTGACTGAAAATCATTTTCATCTTCCTAAATCTTCCAAATACCTCATCATTCTAAAGAAAAAATTTACCTTTATGGAATAGCTTTATATTCCTAACAATTATTATCATTGGGGAAAAGGAAAAGGAACCAATAGACATCAAAAGATCACTGCACATGAGTTCAAATTTCATCTTTGCTACCTACACAGTATATGACCTTGAGCAACTTACTTACCATTGGTGTAATTGACTGGATATTTATGACCTCTCAGATTCATATATTGAAATCAAACCTCCAATGTGAGATGAAGGTGAAGGCTTTGGGAGGTGATAAGATCATGAGAACAGAATCATCATGAATGGAATCAATACCCCTATAAAAGGACCCAAAAGACAGCTACCTTATGCCTTCTTCAGTGTAAAGACAAAGAAAGAAACACCATTGAACCAGAAAGCAGACTCCAAATCTTTGATCCCTAAGCTCCAAAACTGTAAGAAGTAAATCCTGTTGTTTATAAGCCACCTATCCTATAATATTCTGCAGAGTCTAAGATACTTGGTACTTTCATCCAAAATGAAATAACAGTTCCCAGCATGTGGTATTTTTATGAGGATTGAGTTAGGTAAACTAGATGACAGTCCCTAGCATATCACTTCGCACATTGTAGATGATGAACAAGTGTTTATTGATATGCTCCTTAGTTTTGACGGAAAGAGGTGGCTGGAATTCCCAGATGAGATTGTCCATATTAAGGCTGCTGGTTGTCAGGATCAGAAATCTGTTCAGGCTAATTTGAAAAAAAATAAATGTACTAGAAGGTATGGGAGAATTTGCAAAATCAAAGAAGGCTGGATATTATGGCTTAAATCTAAAATGACCTTCAAAAGTCTTATGTGTTTGGAAGGTGATTGGGCCATGGGGGTGCTACATTCATCAGTGGAGTCACCCATTGACTAGTTCAGTTGCTGAATGTGCTGTTAGAAGGTGGGGCCCAGTTGCAGAGTCACTGGGGGCATGACCTGGAAGGGAGTATTCTTGTCCCTGCTCCTCCCTTCTCTCTCTGCTTCCTGAGCTATCTTCCTCCAGGCTCTTGCACCATGCCATTTCTGCCTCGGAGTCAACCAACCATAGGCTGAATCTTCTAGAAACCATGAAATGAAATAAACTTCTCCTTTAATTTGCACATGTGGGTATTTTGTCCCCGTGATAGAAGAATGCCTAATACACTGGAGAACCAGGCCTAGCAAAGGAAAAGGCCATGTTAGGTTCCATGGAGAAGGAATATTGCATTAGTCTACCCAGAGTGTTTGCTACTGGAACAAGTAAACTTCAATTTTAATTTTTAATTTCTGACATACAGATGAGATTTAGGATCCAGGAGAGCATACATTTTGACTAACGTGGGTTCTACATCTTCCTCTTAGTTAGGAGT